CAATTGTGTTCATCTTCTTTCTTTCCTTCTTTCTTTCTTTATTCCTTTCTTCCTTCCTTTCTTCCTCCCTTCCTTCCTTCCTTTTTAAAAACTAAAGTGTAATTACTCTTTTTCCCTTTTATTGAAAATTGATTTTTTTCTCACTTAATATATCCTTATTACAGTTTCCTCTCCTTCTATTCCTCCCCACTTCTCCTCCCATTCAGATCTACTCCCTTTCTGTCTCTCATTAGAAAACAAACAGAATTATCAGGGATAATGAAATATAAAAAGACAAGAAAAACCTAATATAATGGAGTTGGACAAGACAAACAAACAGAAGGAAAAGAGCCCAAGAGAAGACAAAAAAATTCAGAGGCCCATTCATTCACACACTCAGAAATGCCATTAAAAACACAAAACTGGAAGCCATACTGTATACGCAGAGGACCTGGTAAAACCCCTGCAGGCCCTGTGCTTGCTGCTTCAGTCTCTGTGAGTTCACATGAGCTCTGCTCTGTTGACTTAGAGGACCTTGTTCTGGTATCCTTCATTGCCTCTGATGCTTATATTCTTTCAGCCTTGTCTTCCATGGGGTTCCCTGATCCCTGAGAGGAGGGATTTGATAGAGACATTCCAGGTCTCTCACTGTCTGCACATGTAGGTCTTTGTATTTATTCCCATCTGCTGCAGGAAGAAACTTCACTGATTCTGGCTGATCAACTGTTTTGGTGATCAAGAACCACATACTACATAGCTCTGGAACTTAGGGCAAACCAAATACTACTGTTCTGGGGGGGGTAATAAAATGACTTGTAAAGAAATCCTGCTACACTCACAGATCAGTGCCTTCCACATTCTTTTTTTAAGGAAAGGTCTCTCAGTGAACCTGGAGCTCACTGAGGTTTGCTGAGGTTGGCTGGTCATGAGCTTCAGATCTGTCTTCCATACTCCTCCCCAGCATCTACCTCAGCGCCTTGGTGCCTGGCTTTCTCCTTGGGTGTTAGGAATCCATAAGAAATATTCTAGGCAAAACTCAAGCCCAAATGGACCAAAGACCTCAATATAAATCCATCCACACTGAACCTCATAGAAGAGAAAGTGGGAAACACATTTGAATGCATAGGCACAGGGGACCACTCCCTAAATAGAACACCAGTAGCACAGACTCTGAGAGCAACAATTAATAAATGGGACTTCCTGAAACTGAGAAGCTTCTGCAAAGCAAAGAACACGGTCAACAAGACAAAATGGCTCACTACAGAATGGGAAAAGCTCTTCACCAACCCCACATCTGACAGAGTGCTGATCTCCAAAACATACAAAGAACTCAAGAAACTGGAAATCAAACTACCAAATAATCCAATTAAAAATGGGGTACAGATCTAAATAGAGAATTCTCAACAGAACAATCTTTAATGGCAGAAAGACACTTAAGGAAATGCTAAGCATCCTTAGTCATCAGGGAAATGCAAATCAAAACCACTCTGAGATACTATCTTACACCAGTTAGAATGACTAAAATCAAAAGCACCAATGACAGCTTTTGCTGGAGAGGATGTGCAGAAAGGAGAACACTCCTCCATTGCTGGTGGGAGTGCAAACTTTTACAGCCACTGTGGAAATCAGTAAGACGATTTCTCAGAAAATTAAGGATCAACCTACCTCAAGTCCCTGCAATACCACTGTTGGGCATATACCAGAAAGAGGCACATTCACACCACAAGGACATTTGTTCAACTGTGTTCATATCAACATTATTTGTAATAGCCAGATCTTGGAAACAGCCTAGAAGTCCCTCAACTGAAGAATGGATAAGGAAAATGTGGTATATTTACACAATGGAGTAATACTCAGCAGTTAAAAACAATGGCATCCTAAAATTTGCAGGCAAATGGACAGAACTAGAAAAAAATCCTAAGTAAGGTAACCCAAAACCAGTAAGACAAACATAGTACATATTCACTCATAAGTGGATACCAGACATGATGCAAAAGATACCCAGCCTACAATCTGCAACTCCAGGGAAGCTAGAACCCTCTTCCAGAAACAGATGGAAGCAGATGCAGAAATCCACAACTAACCATTGGGCCAAGTTCCTGGAGTACAATCAAAGTGAGGGAGGAGCAAAAATATGAACAAAGGAGTCAAGACCAAGATGGGGAAACCCACAGAATCAGCTGACCAAAGCTAGTGAGAGATCACTGACTTAGGTCTGATAAATGGTGAACCTACATAAGACCAAACTAGATTCCCTTAACATAGGTGGCAATGGTGTGACTGAGATAATATATGAGGTCACTGATAGTGGGTCCAAGATCTAACACTAATTAATGCACAAACTGACTTAATGGAGCCCATTCTATATGGAGAGATACCTTGCCCAGCCTAGACACAGGGGTGGGAGTGGAGAGGTGCCTTGATCCTGCCTCAAAAGACTTAGTATATTTCCTAGGGGAGGCCTTACCTTCTCCATGAAGCAGATGGGAGGAGGGAGGCAGTGGGGGAAGTTGGAGGAAAGGAAGGAGGGGGAACTGGGATTGGAATATAAAAAATAAATTAATAAAAATGCAATGCAAAAAAGAGAAATATTCTAGGAGTTGTAACCCCTGGAAGCCCCTTTACCTACATTAGAAGCCCCAATGACCTGGATAGGTTTCATTTCACAAACAATACTAAGAGATAAAGATAATCTGTAACTTATTATTTCTGTAAAATTCTTTCTTTAAACTCAGATGCTCACTGCTGTATTTCACTAACTTTTAAAGATTCAGCAGAGTGCTAGAGAGATAGCTCAAATGGTATAGAACTTGCTGTGAAAGCATGCTGACCTGGGTTTGGTCCAAGAACTCACATTTTTTTTTTTGTTTTTTTGTTTTTTTTTTGTTTTTTTGTTTTTTGTTTGTTTGTTTGTTTGTTTTTATTCTGGATGTGGGGACATGGAAACAGGTAGCAAGGACTATTTGGCTAGCCAGCCATTAGCATAACTATTAAGGTCCAGACCAATAGGGAATCTTGTTTCCAAAACAGGGTGATGGCTTCTGAGGAATGACAGCCAAAGTTGACTTCTGGCCTCTAAATGTACATACCATTGGGCAACAGCTTCCTCCATGATTGAAACAGTCCACCCTTCAGGGAAGCTCTTTAAATGGGAAGGCAACTAACTCAAAATAGGAACTTCCTGAAGCTAACTAGATTCGTTAGGCCCCTCTCTGCCAGAGTAAACAATGAAAGCTGAGAGTCCCACCCAGACCAAGGAAGCAGAGCCACAAAGAAGATTTAAACAAGCTGAGCTGTAAAAAGACGCTA